TAACATCACTGATCAGAGACGCTAACAGTGGGCTTAGGGGCGGGAAGGCTGCTGTGAGGCTGGTGGTGAGATGCTGCCCCCCCAGCCCCCCATGTGTTGTCGCTGCAATGGCCAGTGTGAGATGGAAGCTATCCCTGCATGGTTTCAGAAAACCATCGTCTGCCAACGCCGTCTCAGCTCTGCCCTCTACAGGCCGCACCCCAGGCCCTCCTCCTTTAAGATGCGAGCTTTCTGGCCCTGGTGGTGCGGCAGGTGAAGCCCTGGGCTACTCGTGGAAAGGTTGGCGGTTTGAGCCCACCGGATGCTGTGCAGGAGAAAGATGAGGCAGTTTGCTTCCAGAAACAGACAGCCTTGGGGACCCGGCGTGGTTCTGCTCAGTCCTGTAGGGTCACTAAGAATTGGACTTGACCTGCCCGCAGTGGGGTTTGCGTGATAGTGCAGTTTGTTTTGAGGGGCTGTCCATAGATACTCTTGCTTTCCTGTCTGGGGAGGGTCTCCTGAGGAGCATGCCAGGCAGACAAGACTGCCTGCTGCTGGTGTCATGGGTTACGTGTTGGAGTGCTAACCAAAAGGCAGCCGTTAGAACCACCACAGAGCTAGCCAGATGGGGCTTCTCCTCCCATTAAGAGTGGCAGCCTGGGAAGCGCACAGGGGCTGCTCTGCTCCGCCCCATGGGGTCGCTGTGGGTCAGCATCGGCTTAGCTTGGTTATGGGTGTGAGTAAAAGCAGTCCCACCCGTCTAGATGCAACACATAAAACACTGGGGTGCACGAGGAGAGAGTTGGTGGTCCTCTGGCCACACCAGGCCGGCGAGGCCCTGTGGATACAGCTCCAAGGCACATTCGTGTCACCTGTGGTGGAACCACAGCCCAGCACGGACAGCGCATGACGCGTGTGGAGTGCAGTTTCCCCAGAGGTGCAGCGAAGGGCGGCAGGCAGTGGAGAGTCTTCTGACAGGGTCGGCCCTCCTGCTCCCTGGAGCAGACCCGCCAGAGGCCAGAAAGGAAACCCCATCACGGCTCAAACAAGGCTGTTCATCTTTACAGCAGAAGGAGCTCCTCTCTCTCCCTCCGAGTAGCTGGCTGGTGGGTGGGCTGGAACTGCCACTTGGCTGTTAATAGCCCCAGTTCCTAACCCACAGTGCCACCAGGGCTCTTGGCCACAAGGAAGTATCCCCTTGACAGCCCCAAACCAAACCCACGTGGGAGTCGCCAGTGTGGGGCTTATAAACACCAGTGGGGGTGGGGGAGGAGTGCTTTCTACACATAATAAATCCTCCTCTCTCATTGGTAAAGGAACAGTTAACCAAACTTAATTTTGCTCGTTTTTATTCGATTTTACCAGAAGGGGTTGCAGATGAGCGAGGTTAGTGCATAACATTGACGAGCCCCTGGAGAGTCCTTTGGAAACATCGATCCTGCTTTTGGAGAAAGGAGCAGAAATAGGCGAGCGAAGCCCCTGGCCTTCTGCAGTGAGGTGTCTGTCCCCCGGAGCTCGCTTCAAAGCGGCTTCTGTGTTGCTGTGCATGTGCTCTGCACGTCCCATCGACGAGACTTGGAGTTTGAGCGAAACAAAGTAGATCATTTTGTCATGGGGGCCTTATCAGTCTGGGTTTATTTTATCATTTGCCTGGAAATTCACATATTCTATACTGATTTCATGCGGGAGAATTTTGTGCTAAGCAACCTTCTGGGCCCTCCCTGCCCGCACCCCCAAGAACCCTTTGAGTAGGGAAATGTATCCAGTTCATATAATCAGCTGGGATCCCTTCCAGTGGCTGTGCCGTACAATTGCCGGCACCTAAGTCACATGCTTCTTATGACAGCAAGTGACACGGTGCAACACTTTGTTCTGTGCACGCTACTAATGTGGAGAGACACCCACAAACGGTGGTGACTGTAGTTCTCTGTAACTCCAGTGGGTGAGGTGGGGGTAAGCCAGGGACCACCTGGACCTCCAACTGACTGGGCCCCTGTCAGAAAGAGCACTCACTCACCCACTTGATAGGCGTGGGCTCTGGGGGACACTCTTCACAGTGCTTGGGGTGCTCGCTTGGATCTCATTTAGCCCTTAGTACGGCCGTTGAGAATATTTGTAAGAGAGAGGGAGAGAGAGTGTGTGTGTGTCTGTCTTTAGCTGAGGCAGTGGGTCCCCTGGAGTCCAGTGACGTGCTCATTCATAGTCACAAGAAGACCCCAACACCAGCCCCTCCCTCTTGACCCGTTATGCTCAGGCACCCCTTTCCCAGCTCCGGGTCTTGGGTCCTGTCTGACGCGTGCCCACTCTCATCTTGAAGCATCGGAGATTCCACGTGGATTGGTTTCACAGTTGGAGGAGACCCCTCGCTGTGACGGCGTGGAGACGGCTGTGGCTGAGAAGAGAAGGGGTTAGACGTGGACATAATGCCATCTGTCTCGTTTGGTTTTTTCCCTGGGGGACAGAATGAGTATCGGGTCATTAAATATGTCCTCGGATCTCATTTTGGAACATAAAGGAAGTAGGAAGACTCAGATAATGAGAATACTAAAAACAAACAAACACGCCACATTCACTGCCATCTAGTTGATGCTGACTCACAGTGACCCTATAGGACAGGGTAGAACTGCCCCTGTAGAGTTCTGAGACTGTAAATCTTTAGGGGAATAGACAGCCTCATCTTTCTCCCACAGAGCAGCTGGTGGTTTCGAACTGCTGACCTTGTGGTTAGTACCCTGGTGCGTAACAACTCAGCCACCAGGAGTCCTAGAAGTATATTTATTTAGAGAATACTTAAGCTCTAGACCTGAAAACATGTCTGATTTAAATTTGTAGAAGACACGCTTTCATCCAGAGTACATGCTGGCATTTAGTTAGCGATCCAGTAGACACTGTCTCAGAAGTGAACAGCTTCACCGTGGGCCACCAGTGAGGGCCCACCCGGAACCAAGAACGACAAGGCCCTTGGTCATTGCTCGGCACTCAGCCTGTCGGAGAGCTGGGGTCCAGCAGCCCTCCCGGGAAGCTGGGTCTGGAAAGCGGCATCAGGCGGGCCTCAGGCCTGGGACGGCCCTGCAGGCGTGCACTCACGGTCCCTCCCCTCTTCTCTCCACGGACACAGACGAATGGTTATGCCGGAGACGGGTACGGCGCCCAGGCCCTCAGCAGAAGGCCCAGCAGGGTACGTTGTCCTGTCACACCACTCAATCACGTTACTGCGACGCTTAAAGAAAAAAAACAAGCAAACACAGTTTTGTTGTTGTTGTGTGCCACAGTCTGTTCTGCCCAGCGGGCCGAGCACATTGGACTGAAACCCAGCCCGGTTCCACACCATCCGCACACTCGCCCCGTGTTTGAGGCCACTGTGGCGCCACGGGTCCTGCCAGCTCCTTGAGGCGTCCTCTCGGCCGCTGCCCCTCCGTTTCACTAAGCACGACGGTCCTTCTCCAGGGACTGGTCTCACCTGCCATGTCCAGAGCACATCAGGCACAGTCCCACCATCTTACTGCTGAGGAACAGCCTGGCTGTACTTCTTCCGATGCAGATTTTTTGGACAGTTTAATTGACGTGTAATTCACATACCGTACAGTTCTATTAGAAAGGGCAGTGCCATCACCACCACCACTTTGGCACCTTTTCTTCTTGCTGGTACTCATGATTAGCCCCCATTTCCCGTCTCCCTCTGCCAGGCCCTTGATAAATTATTGATGGAGTTACTGTCTCTAGAGCTATACCTCTCCTGGGTTTCATAGAAAACCGCTACGGTTTTTTGTTTTTTTTAATATTGCTCATTTGATTTAAATTTGGCTTCTTTTATTTTCTGTGGCCAAGCTGGTCTCGCTGCCTTTTTCTTAGCAAATGCTCAGATAAAAGTGGCAGCTTTGCCACTGACAAGGCTGCCAAGGGCCACGTGTAAGAGATCGAAATGAACCAGGCTCTCCTGGTGTTAAAAAAGGGGGAAAAAAAACAACCAAAAACCGAAGCCGCGTGTTTGCTGTTTGGTTACCTTGCCGTGGGTGTGAAAGCCCAGGGCGGTGTGGAGGTGACGATGATGGTTCACACACTCCGGCCGTTCCGAGGCAGAAAGCCCAGGCCACCTCTGCAAATGACGGGGGCCTTGGGTGCCCTCTGGGGACAGTGTGCTCTCTCACAGGGGGCACTCTGAGTCTGGGTTTGCTTTGTGTTTGTGCTTGTTTGTTTCTTCAAAGAAGGGGTACGTTAAGAAAAATCTAAATAGGAAGCCGAAGAAAGCTCGCCTCAGATTCAGCAAGAATTACAAAGTCTACGCTCTTCCCCCACCTCCCCCACCATGGAGTCCCTTCCGACTCACCCCGACCCTGTGGGACTGGGCACAGCTGCCCCTGTGCCTCTCTGAGACACTCACTCGTGCTGGGAGTAGAAACCCTGTTCTTCCTCCCGCAGAGCTGGCTGGTGATTTTGAACTGCTGACCTCAGGGTCAGTAGTCCAATATGTAACTACTACATCCCCAGGGCTCCACGCCAGCCTCTCAGAGCTGAGAGAGTGCCCTAACAGCGCTGGAGAAGCCCTGTGGTGACCGGAAGATAAACACTGAGAGATCAGAAGGTCTAGTTATTGAGAACGCCCGCTGGACCGGTTTTGTCCCGATTGTCTGGAGCAGTCGGCCCTCCCGACACCAATCCTGATTTGGTTCTGTTATTTCCTGGGGCAGCCGCTTACTATTGCAGGCGCCCTGGTGGCACAGTGGGTTACAAGTTGGCCTACTGACCACAAGGTCAGCGGTTTGAAACCACCAGCCACTCCAAGGGAAACAAGACGGGACTTTCTACTCCCATAAAGAGTCATAGCCTCAGAAATTCACAGGGGCGGTTCTGCCCTGTCTGTGGGGTCCTGTGGGGTCCATACAAGCCGGCATGGGCTTGATGGCAGTGAGGTTGGGTTCAGGGGTAGCTACTGTGTTGCGAACACTTTGGGGAGCTGCGGGCTGAGGTGGGGGCAATGAGGGTATACACAGCACTTAACATGGCCTCTTCCCACTGCTCAGAACTCCAGCTTCAGCGGCGACAACCGAGTGCCCGCATGGCCGTCACCCAGAGAGGAGAAGCTGGTCGGTTTCTGTTTACGTTTTTCTGCTTGTCTTCAGCAACGGCATGTTGTGTTGCATGCAGAGGGGTGTGTGTGTGTGTGTGTGTGTGTGTGTGTGTGTCGCTCCAGCCTGCTCTTTCTTTATTAGTCTTTACATGTCTCTAGAGTTCCCTTGGGACACTACTTTGGTGAGGTCTGCAAGCACTCCTGAATGGGCGTCACTGGAGTCCTGGCGCCGCTATAGCCGACCCATCCCCCCTGAAGGGTGGCCTCCAGCCGGCTCCCATATAAGGAAGTCTCTCTGTGGCTCTGTTGTCCTTAGAGTTAATCCAAAGGGAAAGTCCAGCCAGGTGCCCTTGAGGGTCTTGGCTTGGGGGTCTGGAGGAGAGGAAAACTCTGTAGGGGAAACTTGTGTAGGGCAGTTTCTAGGGGCATGGGCTACATTTGGGGTGAAAACCAAGTTGAATCAAAATCCAAATATCAGCCCTGGTGCCGCAGTGGTTCTCTGTCGGCTGCTCACCACAAGGTCAGCAGTTCGCAACCCCCAGCCGCTCCTTGGGAGAAGGATGGGGCTTTCTACTCCCGTAAAGAGCGACAGTCTCGGAAACCCACAGGGGCGGTTCTACCCTGTGCTCTAAGGTGGCGATGCGTGGGCATGGACACGATGGCAGGCAGTGTGACACAGCAGAGGCCCGCCCGTGGTGGAGGGGCCCAAAGCAGGCTGTTTGTAAGAGAAGCCAAACCCCGACTGCTTCCCGCCCCAGCTCCGGTTCAGTTCCCACCCACCCAGCAAACATTGGGGGCTCGTTGTGGATGGGCTCAGGCAGGAACCCCATACGCACAGTCAGCGAGGAGGGCTCATGTTTGCACGGTAGTGACAGACACTTGGCACCCTGGGCTACACAGACTCAGGTCACATTGCCAGACGTGGCCTGGCAGATGGCTCAGCTTTGAACGGAAGAAGGGGTGGATGAGAGCCAGGGCAGGGCCCCACTAAGCAGGCAGTGTCTGCAGCCCCTGCTGGGGAAGCCCCAGGTAGCTGGGGTGCAGGGTGTGGCTGGTGCTCCCCCCACCCCCGCCTTGTGTCTGAGTTTGCAATATGAATGTTCCTTTCAGAGGAAATGAGGGTGTGAACCACTTTGTCATCCTCCCTCTCCCCCATCCCCCCTCATCTCTGATTCCAGGGGCTCCCCTGCTCGGACCTGGGACTCCCGAGGAGCGGCCTGCTGTCCAAAGTCCCATCCACCCAGCACGGAAGCCGGGTCTGTCTCCTGCCTGCCAGTCCCTCCCCCTGTGTGTCTGTCACTGCTGGTTCACCTTTCAGGGAAACCATACTTTCTGCTTGTCTCGGCCGCCAGTGCACACAGCCCAGGGAGGGTTCCGACAGCGTGGCTGAAAGTCTCCCACAGTTCATTTCAGGACCCAACACAGGGGAAGAGACCCTCAGGAGAAGGGGGTCAGGGGGTTGGGTTGTGACCATGAAAGGCCGACAGCTGTCCTGCTCCGGCTTCCCGGGGGCCACCGGGAAGGCGTGACCTGTCACGTTGCTTCGGCTCAGGTGCCTCTTCAGCCTCCCTCGGCCAGGCCTGCCCTGCCATAGGCGGGTGAGCACTGTCAGAACCGGGCCCAGGCGCTGTCAGATGACACCACCTCTTAGAGGTGGAATTGTCCCCTCTGTGGACACACTGCCCGTGACTCGGGTCCCTGCCTGGCTTGAGGTCAGTAGCCTCTGCCTACTAACAGGAGCCATGGGCACCTGGTGGCCGAGCATGGGGTGGGGTGGGGGGTGTCTGTCCCAGCATTCCATTACCCAGGGTTCTGCCCCTCACCTGTGGGTTCATACCCCAAAGGGCCTTCCTGGAACCCGCCCTGGGCAGATAAAGAGTTAGCCGCGAAGCTGCCGACCACAAGGGGTGCAGGGTGAACCCGTCGGGAGGTGTCTTGGGGAGAGGTCCTGGTGCTCCACTTCTGAGAAGCCCAGGAGCCCCTCTCCTCTGACACGCAGGTGGAGGGAAGCTGGTGGTTGTTTGAAGCGCTTACTAACCTGGGGCTTTGAGTTGTTGCTGTGTGGAACTCAGTGGCCTAGACTCTATGCCCTCGTGGGCCCTTCCTGACACTGTCACCTGTCCGAGAGAGACTGAGTGGTCCCTGTGTGTGCACCTGGCCACCCCCTGCATTTACCCTTGTATGGCCCCTGCATTGTCGGCTGAGATCCCAGTGCCTGGCCCCACATCCCTCTCACTGTGTCCGGGCGCCTGGTCAGAGCCGGTGCCCTGTGATGAGAGAGCACTGATTCTGTTTCTTCAAGGCCTTTAAATCACAGCCTGGAGACCCGTCTCTAGATGCAGGCTGTGTGAACCACCTCCTCCTCTGGACTGTTCTGTGTTTGCCTCGCAAGGAATGCTTCTCAGCATAACCACGTTTCCACGATGTGTGGGAGAATGGGTTGTGTGCCATGGACAGGAGTAAATGCTTCGCTCCCCAGCTGCGTGTGTGGTGGTGTGTGTGTGTGTGTGTGTGTGTGTGTGTGTGTTACTGTCCTGCACGTCCCTTGTTCTCTGAAGCCCTCTTCCTGGGAACCAATGCACCTTTTCTCTGAAGTTTCTCCAGCACACTTCTCTATGTGTCCATCGCCCTGGCTTTCTGGCATCGCTGAGACAGGAGGCGGCGCCCGCGTCTGTCCTGACTCTCTGCTTCCCTCTAGGCGGCCCTGTTTGACGACAGCAGCCTCGGTGGGGCTCAGCGGGGCAGTACCTCTGGCTCTCGGGCTGTAAGCCGTTTCTGTGTGTCCCTGGCCCCGCATCCTCCTCTGTCCACTGCATGGCCCCAGGACACACCAGCAGGGCTCCTGGCGTGGGAGGGATCCCTCCGCCAAGCCTCCCCACCAAGTCCTACAAAGAGGCCCCTCCTCCTCCCCTTACCCCAAGTCTGATGGCTCGCTAAGAAGCATGTGGAAGTGCTGTGGACGGGAACTGGCTCCCTGAGAGTCTGATTTTATGATTCTCTATGGGTTTTCCCCAGGCATGCTGGGTACTCGGAGACCCTTAACCACTAGACCTCCACCTTTCCTCCAGTGTGGCTCCTGTGCACCTTTGTCTAACCGCTGAGCTCACGCCTCTTGACGAGACGTCTACAATTAATACTGATGTCGCGTGGAGTGCTTTACCGCAGTTGTGCCCCTGGATTTGACACTCCTCGGTTCTCACACGTCCTCACAGACCACTCGGAGAGCTCCATTCGTGTGACGAACTGGGGAAATGGCCCCAGCCTGCGTCAGGGGGAAAAGGGGCAATGGGGGTGGTTTTTCATCAGAAGAGGCAAAAGACTGGTTGACTAAGAGAAAGGAACTTTCCAGGGTATCCACTTCTCTGTGGGAGCCTGAGTTGCCCAATGGTTGGTGCTCAGCTGCTCACCCCCAGGCTAGTGGTTCGAACCCATCCAGGGGCTCTGAGCAGTGAAGCTCCAGTGATCGCTCCTGGACAGATGGTGGCAGCCAAGAAAGCCCTCGGGGCGGTTCTCATCGCTCCCGCTGGCAGACCAGCGGCACGTCCCAAGGTGGTGGGGCACGGGTTTGCAGGCAGCTGCGGAACTCGGTCCCTGAATAACAGGCCTGGCTGCCCATCTGCCTCCATCAAGATCCCCGACCTCCCTGCCTCCGTCCAGTTGACTCTGCCTCTCGCTGGCCCCTGGGACAAAGCAGAGCTGGCAAACCAGTGCCTGAGGCTGCCTCATCCTTCTCCCAGGGAGTGGCTCATGGGTTTGAACTGCCGACTTTGGGGTTAGCACTGAGCGCTTTAACCCCTGCATAAAGCTCACAGTCCAGAGATCCCTATGGGGCCCTGGGCCCTGCCACACTCTCCGCTGCAGGACCAGCCGCTGACAGCAGTGGGGAGTTAGGTAGCCTTCTGCTACCGGCGGCCAACTGAAAGGCTGGCTGTTCAAATCCAGCCTGCAGCCCTGTGGGAGAAAGATGTGGTGGTCTGCTGCCGTCAGAATCATAGCTGAGAGGCCCCGCAGTTGTGGGGAGGACGTGGACATGGCGGGGAGTGCCCCCACTGTAACACGCTCTAAGATCGCAGTAGTCCGGACTCCACCCAGCAGGCAGTTGGTGTTGGCTCCCCTCAAACGGAGTCCTGGAGCGGAGGCAGCTGCCCAGGCAGGCTCCCTGATGGAGTCTCTGGGCTCTGTGGCCTGGAGGGGACCCCAGAGCAGGAAGGCTTTAGGGCGTGAGGGCCCGTGCCGGCAGCTCTGATAGGGCAATCCACCCCTGCCCTAAAGCAGTCCGGTGGCACAGTGTTATGCCGCTTACCACAAGGCCAGCAGTTTGAACTAAGCCGCTCCTCGGGAGAAAGAGGAGGCTGTCTACTCCTGTGAAGAGTTGCAGTCCCGGGAACCCACAGGGACAGTGCCACCCTGTCCCTTAGGGTCACTGTGAGTTGGCATCGACTCAACGGCAGTGGGTTTAGGTTTTCTTCCCCCACCCCACAGGCGTGCGGCACATGCTGGTGATGTCAATTGGACAAATTGATCTAGTGGGAGCCCCCTCCCGGATCCAGTGCCAGTCCTGGGCATCTGAATGCTGTGGGTGTTGGGGGGCAGCGGCAGGGGGAGTATACATGCTGCGTGGAGGAGAGCTCCGTCCGCCTCTGCCCCTGCAAACCAGGGGTGGGAGGCTCAGGAGGACCGAGGGCTGTCCAGCGCAGGGCTGGGGCAGCAAACCAGCTCTCGAGCCTTACGTCGCAGTTCTTTCGGTTGTACATACGTGTGGCTCTGGGGTAAAACTGGAGTCTTTAAGGGATATCGTCCAGATAAAGGTGATCTCATTTGTACGTGTATGTGTGGCTCCTGAGTAATTTTTAAGCTGTTGTGAGCGACAGGGTTGCCTCTTCCATTTCAGACTTTGACAACCGCTGGTCTCAACCATCGCTTCCCACACTCATTCGACCTGCTGCCCTTTTTCAGGGGGCGGGGGGAATCCCCCTGCCCGTGGCAATGAAAACCATTTGTACTCTCACCCCTCCTCCAAGCTCAAGTGTAGACACCTGTCTGCAGCCCCCTAGATTGTTGCAGCGGGGCACTGCCCACCCCAGGGAGTACCAGTGACACGATGGTGACTTTCTGCAGGGGAAGGTCACCAGCACCTCAGTGCCCCAGCAGGCATTAGCCTCCCCGGGGAGCCAGGCAGAGGAGGCAGGGACCGATTCCATCCTCAGCTCTTTGAGGGTGGGAGGGGGCTCCGGATTCCCCCAGATGTGTAGAGGTGGGAGGGGCGGGGAGCAGAAACGTTCTGATTGCTCCCTGTCTTTAAGTCCAGGTGTGTGTCGTGGGGAGGGAGGACAGGGGGGAGGTTCTCCTTCCGTAGGGAGTTGGTGCTGGCTGCATCTGTCCCATTTGAATGGAGGCTGGTAAACCCTGTGTGTCTCTCAGGAGCTGGTCCTCTGTGGTCAGCATCTGCGCTGTGTGTGGCCCTCGTTAAGAGGTGCTGTCCCACCTCACCTTGCTCAGAGGAGATCAGAAGTTTCGTAATAACATGAAAGTAAGTCCAGGGGCCAGAATACATGGGAAGACAAGTCCACGTGAACAGGCTACCACTTCCAGACACAGGCTGCTGGTGCTCTGGTGTTACCAGAAGAGAGAGGGATGGGCAGGAGGATGAGGAGCTGGATAGAGGGCTGACTGGATGGACAGTGAGAGGGTGGGTGGATGGACACCTGGATGGACAGACCTAGGGATGAACAGATAGGAGGGGGGCTAGGTGGGTAGACAGATAGACAGACCGAGAGATGGATGGACGGACGGGTGAGTGGACAGGTAGATACGTACACACGTCCGTACAAGGTAGCAGGTCATCTGACACTTGTTAAAAAAGCATAACAGGAAGTTGTGGTGATGAGTGGTTTAGGGCATATGTTTTCACTACAAGAAGATAAGTATTCGTATAAAACGCAGTTTGGTATTAGCCTTTAATCAATTCATCCCTACCGCAAAGCCATCTGAGAAGAAAAACTGCCTGTTGCTATGAAGTCAGGTCCCTGGGCCCTGGTCCTCAGCTTCAGGGGTTGTTTACTGTGTGTGGACGAGGCGTGACGCACAGCCAGGTGGAATGGAGCTGGGGGGGCGGGGTGTCTCTGTGTGAACAGTGGTGGTCTGGCCACGCGCCTTCTCCTGGGCGGGGAGCCTTCTCCAGCAGGCGCGCCTGATCTCTAGCCCACTCTCTCCTTCCCATGCATGGCGCTGTGCCTCCTGGAGCACACACTCTCGCCTCAGTCCTGCTTCTCCGCTCACCCGTCCCTCTCTTTCTGTCTGCGTCTGGCCACACGGACAGCCCTCGGAGTACAGCGGCTACCTCAACTCCAGCTCTCGCGCCTCCTCCCGGGCCAGCTCGGCTCGCGCCAGCCCTGTGGTGAGTCTGTCTGGGCACTGCCTTCTCTCCTCCCCTGCCTGCCCCCATGCTCCCTGCTTCTCTGCCTGGGCAAAGAACCCCGGGCTCGCAGGCCAGAAGATGCCTCTGCTTTACTTCTCCGCGCACCATCGAAGGGGTTGGAAGGGACACAGAATGCAAGCACACCTCGTTCTGCAGGCTTCCAAGGCCCTGCCGCTTTTTCACAAATCAGAGGTGTGCGGCCACCTTGCCATTTTTCCCCGCAGGCTGTGCACACCTGTGCCCCTCAGCCCCACATCGGTCACCCTCACCACACTTGACGCTTGCTCCTGGTGCTGCTACACACATCATCAGCGAAGGACCAGTGTCACCATCACTTTTTTCTGCACCACGGAACCAAAAGCCCCATGTGGCTCGCTGGGTGGCAGCCTTCGCAGTGATCCGGAGCCCAGCCCGAGGAGCCCTGGTGGCATAGTGGTTATGCTTTGGACTGCTAACTGTAGGGTCAGCAGTTCAAAACCACCAGCCACTTCAAGGGAGAAAGACAAGGCTTTCTACTCCCATCGAGAGTGACAGTCTTGGGAAGCCACCAGGGCAGTTCTACCCTGTCCTCCAGGGCTGCTAGGAGTCAGTGTCCACTCAATGGCAGTGAGTTGGGGCTGGTTTTAGTTGGAGCCGGGCCTAGAACCCCTCCGAGCGAGGCCTGCCTGCATTTCTTTTCAGCCTCGTCGCTGGGACTGCACCGACAAATGCCTTAAGAGTCAGAGAAGAACGTCGACTTGCTTAGAGAGGGGGCTCCGTGGGAAGGGGGGCGGCTGGAGGAGGGGCTTGCTCGTGCATGGATGTGCTGTGTTCCTGTGCATGTTTGTGCTTTCTAATTACTTACGAATGTGTAGAAGGTGGAATTGCTATGTGTCGTTTGAAGTGTTACCTGTTATTGAACCCGAAAGCCAAGCCCACTGCCATCAGGGCAGCAGGGTGGACCTGCCGGGGCCTTCTTTCCAGGAGCAGACACTCTCCTCTTCCTCCCCTGGAGCAGCGGGTGGGCTCAGCGGTGAGCAGCCCAATGCTTAACTCACTGGCCCACCAGTGCTGCTGTATTGGACCCAGGATATTCCCACTGTGTGGCAGAGCCGTGCTGTTCCATCCCCCAGTCCCCTCCACTGGCTCCGAGCCCTTCCCACGCCGATGAGCTCTTTGCTCTGGTGTATGTTTATGCCGGAAAAGCCTCACACATGCCCCCGTTCACACAGGCTGACACCCAGTGCACAGTGGGAGCTCTCAGCCGGCCACGCAGATCTGGCATTGTAATTAACACGCTCCGCCCTAGCCAAAGATGAGAGGTTCAAACCCACCAGCTGCTCAGAGGGAGAAAGAGGAGGCTTTGTGCTCCCATGAAAACTGCCAGCTTTGGAAACCCACAGGGGCAGTTCTACCCCATCCTGTAGAGTCACTGTGAGCCAGAATTGAGTCACTGTTCGTGAGTTTGGTTTGCGGTCTCTCTATTTGTTCTTAAGGAGCCCTGGGGGCATGGTGGGTGACATGCTGGGCTGCTGACTGCAAGGTCAGCAGCTCGAACCCACTAGTGGCTCCGTGGGAGAAAGATGAGGCTTTCTACTCCTGTAAAGATTGGTAGTCTCGGAAACTGAACAACGGGGGCAGTTCTACCTTGTCTTACAGGGTTACTATGAATTGGAGCCCAGGTTCTGCCCTGTCCTGTAGGGTCACTGTGAGTTGAAATCGACTCAGAAAAAAAACCAAAACCTCAAATGCAGTGTCCCCGAATCAATCCAGAGTCAAGAAACCGAGCCCACCCATCTGTCTTCCCTCCTGGGTTCCCAAAGCTCAGATCCTGCCCTGACTGGTCTGTTGCCACCTTCTCAGTCCCTCAGACAGAGCAAGCACTGACCACCGGGGACTGGGGTGCCAGGCAGGTGTTGCAGGGAGAGGCCTATACAGATCCCTGGGCCAGCAGGGCCAGTCGGTCAGAGCCTCTCCCCAGAGTGGGCAGCAGACCCTGGGAGAAAACCTTCACTCCAGATTCGGACGCTGGCCGCCACGTCAGCCTCTGAGCCTCGCAGGACAGGGACATCCCACCTTTTAAACCCCAAGCCCAAACCCATGCTGTTGAGTGCACCACAACTCCTAGCCACCCACAGGGCAGATCAGAACTGTCTGGAGAGTTCCTGAGACTAGAACTCTGCACAAGAGCCTGCCTCCTCTTCCTCCTCCCTGGGAGCCGCTGGCCCTTCAAAGCCAGCAGGAGAGGTGGGGATTGAGCTTGCTGTCCTCTGGTGGGACCTGCCGCCTCGCCCCACTGCCCTGCACATGCCCTCCTGATGTGGGGCGCAGACATGGGCGTCACCCCAATGTGTGAAGCCGAGGTTGGGAGCAGCCTGTTATCCAGGTGGCTCTGTTTGAAAGCTCCCCCCAGCCCACCCCATCCGAGCCTGGCCCCACCTCAGATCAAACGCCGCTCTGGTGATCCAAGGAGCTGGCGGCAGCCTGCGCACCTCCTTCCTCCTTCCTCGGGTCCTGTATTCCACGTTACAAAGGGACCTGTGTTTGTGGTCACAGCGGGAGGCCAGGCACCAACAGGGCCATTTAGAGGTTGAGCACATTGCCTTCCCCCACCCAACCCTCACCGAAACAGCCCATCAAAACACACACACACACACACACACACACGACTTGTCTGGCCAGGGAACATCCCTCTCCATCTTGTCTCACAAGGAACACACTAGCAGGGGCTGGAGCCATGTTTTCAGGGACACAGGTACCACTGAGCTGGACACGTGGGTTTCCACCACTCCGTCTGTCCACATGGTAGACACTGACTTCAGGCCATAGGGCAGTAGGAAGCCCAGCCTGCCTCGGGCCAGACAGGCAGTGACCTGGCCCTTCTTAGTCCCCCAGTGGTCACACAGCCTCCTATATGTTTGCTATTCATGGATCCCTGGGAGTAGGCATTGGGCTTCAAGGTTGGCGGTTCAAGCCCAGCAGCCGCTCCCGAGGAGAAAGATGAGGCTGTCTGCTCTCCTAAAGATTTACTCTCAGAAACCCTGTGTAGACTCACTCTAGGGCAACATGGCATGGCTTGGAACTTCAGCTGAGGGCTCCCCGGCTCCTCAGGGCACCCCCAGACCCAGTTTCTGCCAGGGACCACCAAGCTCTAGGACAGCGGATCTCAATCTGTGGGTCGTGACCCCTTTGGGGGTCAAACGACCCTTTCATAGGAGTCGCCCGATTCTTAAAGGTAGCAAAATTAGTTATGAAGTAGCAACAAAAATAATTTATAGTTGGGGGTCACCACAACATGAAGAACTGTACTAAAGGGTCACAGCATGGGGAAGGTTGACAACCACTGCTCTAGGACAATGGGGACCCCCCAACATCCCCAGACTCTGGGTTCTTCCAGGCACCACGCTCTAGCATGATGGTACCACCGGGTACTCCCAGCATGTCCAGTCCAGCCAGTGCAGTTAGCGGGTCTGGGACACGCACAGACGTCCCCCCAGTGCCTCGTACAGAGCCCTCACAGCCCTGCCAGCAAATGGCGTATGTTCCCCTGTCCTTGACCGAGAGCCCCGCTCCCCACGAGGATGGGAACCCACAGAGCACTCCTGGGCCGCTCGCATACCTGGAAAATCCCTCGTCTGGTGTCTGTCTGCAGTCAGCACATTTTTATACAGTCCTGCTCGTCTCTCGTGGGACTCCTAAATGCCGAAACCCACACGGTGAAGCCCACCCACCTACACATACTGAGCCCGTGGACACCCACTGTGTCCACACTGCCCACCTGGAAGGGGCTCACAAGTCCTTTTCCGGCCCCTGGCCCTGCTGTGTCTGACCACCGCTGTTTTGTCCTCTTCCCTCTGCAGGTCGAGGAGAGGCCAGAGAAAGACTTCGTCGAGAAGGTAAGGCATGCCTGGAAGCCTCTGTGTGACGTCAGCTGTCAGCCGGAGACCCAGTGGTCGGGGGAGCCCACCCAGAAAAGCTGTGGCCAGTGTTTGCTGTGGGTGCCTGCCACTGGGCGATCAGGGCCAGTAGCTGGCTCATCACACCAGTGTCCTCCTGTGGGTGTAAAATCCCACTGAACAGGAAGGTGTCTGGCTCGGGTCCATCCAGCTTGGATGCCCAAGCTGACAGGCGAACCTGGCGGGGCAGTAACTAGATTAATGGATTCTTGGGGCTATGGTGGGGATGTTGGGGGGTGGGGAGCTAATAGGGAGTGACAGCCCTGGTGACATAGTGTTACTGGGCTGGCTGCTAAGGGCAGCGTCACCAGTTTGAAACCACCAGCCAATCCTTGGGAGAAAGAAGAGGCTTTCTACGCCCATGAAGAGTCACAGAAACTCACAGGGGCAGCTCTACCCCGTCCTGTGATTGGCATCGCCCCGATGGCAGGGAGTGACCGACTGTTCAGTAATCAGCAGCAGAGGGAGAAGACACAGTGCTAAGACTGATTGCAGTGACAATCGCACATCTCTTAAACATGTTTAAACCACCCGACTGAATTAGACATCACCAAAACCATGTCCACAGAAAAAATTCCCAAGCAGCCCCTGGAAACAGGGCCCCTGTAGAATTTACCAGAGGCCCGATGAAGGGCCTCCCTCTGGAAACAGAGTTAGAGACAAGACACCTTCATCTGTGTCGTTTTAGCTTTGACTGAAACAGGCTCTCGCTGTTTCCCAGGGCTCCCGGAACATGCCCAGCTTGTCTGCAGCCGCCCTGGCCTCTCTGGGTGGGACGTCCTCCCGGAGGGGTAGTGGGGACACGTCCATCTCCGCGGGCACCGAGGCCTCCATCAGGGAAATCAAGGTGAGTGAGGCCCTGGGCCCTGCCTTCAGGTAGCAAGAGGCCCCTTCCTTGTTAGCATCCTCCGGCTGACCCCCCACTTCCCCACCTCCCATCAGCGTGTGCCTGTGATCGCCCCCCAAGGAGCCCTGATGAAGCTGAGAGTTAGGCATTCGAATCCACGGGTCGCTCAGTGTGTGAGTCTGGGTAGACTAGAGAAAACAAATCCATGGACACACACATGTGTATGAGAAAGAGATTTATGTACAAGAGGAATTGAACATCCCAACCCAGTCCAGATCAAGCCCCTAAGTCTGATATTAGCCTATATGTCCAATACCAATCCCTAAACCCCTCTTCAGACTCACGATACGCATGCAATGACGCCGAATGCAGTGATCACAGACCAGTGGGTAGAAAGTCTTTGGATCCAGTGGCATTGTGAGCATCTAGCGCTGGCAGGGGTCTCCACGTGGCTTCTCTGGCTTCAGAAGTGTGGTTGCATCAGAGTAAGCCCATGTGGCTTCTCCAGCTCAGGGCACTAGTGTAGTTCCATGTGTCTTGTCAACTGCAATGTCTCCCAAGGAGTGGTAGCGAGAGAGAAGTGTCTCCCGCCTCCCAGGAGGAGGTACCGGATTTCCCAGAATTCTCAGGAGAAGGCCATGCCCACACAGAGGCCTCATTGGCTATGATCTGATTGACAAGCTAGACTCCACCCCTACACTCTTAATCCTCACATTGACAAAGGATTATATATGTACCACACTCAGGGACAGAATGGTGAGGCTGTCTGCTCCCCTAAAGATGCACAGCCACCGGAGCCCCATGGAGGGTGACTCTGAATCGGAATTGCCCCGATGGCTTTGTGGTGACACCATGCCCTGTCACAGAGCCTTCCTGCCCCGGCGCCAGGACAGGCTCCATCCTGCCCCTCTCCGGTCACCACCTCTGGTGTGGACGTGGCCAGGCCCTGCACTTGTGGCAGTCTGTGTTTGCTGGGCCTGCTGCTGGGCACCAGGTTGCTGACTGTCCCCCATTCACACTTAGTGGTGTACTTGCCTTGCCGCCCTGCCAGCACCCTCCCCGCCCTGCCCCCTGGGTGTCTGCCGTTGGTAGCACACCCGCAGGGAACGTCTCCAAGCTGCATTTCTTGGCCCTGCCCCCTCAGCCAGCTTGCCGATGTCGTTCTCTGCTGCGTCCTTGGTCCTGAGCGCAGGGTCAAGCCTGTGCACACAGCAGCCCACCCTTGCCCCGCAGGAGTGTCAGAGTACCGGGGCGTTGTGTCCACCACAGCAGAAGGCTGTCTGGCCCGTGCTTGCCACCCAGCCTAGCTTCCAAGCGATCACAGACAGCCAGTACCCCATTTGCCAAGGGTTCTGACTCGGGCGGACCCCACATGTCACAGGAGAGGTGATATTTTTTGAGGGGGGGTGGTGGTACAGGAAGTAGTTTGCCAGGCCTTTCAAGCTGCCCTGGCTGTACCTGAACCTCCAACCTTGCAGGTAGCAGCCAAGTGTGTTCACCGGTTGTACCACCCAGGGCCAGGCCTCTGGCAGCCCTCCTTTGTCACAGTAACGAGGGCTGGAGGAGGCGCAGCTTTGCATTTCAAAACTTTGTGTCTTCTAGAGCAGGGCCAAGGTGAGAGGCGGGCACAGAAAGATATTGGCCTGGCGTACAGAAGAACTCTTCTGGCAATTAAAACTGGTTCGTCATTGCCGCCAGTGCTGTTCAGATAGCTGGCAGCCATTTACCAGGGAAGGTGGGAAGGTTGGACAGGACTGCCCCTCAGCCTCTGAGTGTCCGAGAATGGGAGACCAGAAGAGGACCAGAAGGCGGGGCGGGGATGAGCCCACCTCACAAGGCAGGGTGGGGAGGAGCCCACCCAAGAAGGCCCCAGGTGCTGTGTGGTCCCCACCCCAGGGAAGCTGAACTGGCTGCATTCACAGCATGTCCCTGGGCTAGATGCTGGGCACCATTCATTTGCCCAATGAGTGTCCGCTGAGAGACCATCTTGAGCCAGGTGCTGCCGGGGAGGGTGGGGGGTGGCACTCCCAGATGCAGGGACGGCTCTTTGTTGAGCTTCCTCTCCGGCCCCCACTGTGACCTCACAGAGCAGGAACTCGGTGCCTGAACAGATCACTAGACCCAGTGCAGCAGCTTTTGTACCCTGTCCCCAAGCGGTTGTGGGTGTTTTAGACAGAGCGTGTAAGGAAACAATACAAAATCCAAACCGAACCCACCGCCTCTCGGATTCTGACTTGCACATACACACACACACACCCCACCCCAACCACCCCGTTACAGAGCAGACCAGCTCCGTGGGATGTGCTTGAAGGCGATCGATGCTTTAGGGAAACAGTCCTTGCTTCTGCAGCACCCCAGAGGGGGTCAGACCACCTGCACTTTGGTCATGACCATGCTGATGTGCACTTAGCTTTCTTTGAACACTTCGGGGAACAACAGAGAGGCAAAGGACGGGGCAAAATGTGTCACCAGGCCGCCCAGAGGTGAGAGGCGAAGAGCTCTGTGAAAGAAAGCAGGGGAGGGAGGGTCTCTGGCTCTTTGTGGCCGGGCCGGGTCGGTTGTTCCCTGGTCATCTGCCTGCCTCATTTTTTGCCATTTCCCCCCTAGGAGCTCAATGAGTTAAAAGACCAGATTCAGGATGTAGAAGGCAAATACATGCAGGGGCTGAAAGAGATGAAGGTATCAGTGGACTGGTGTGTGGATTCCTGGTGTTAACCTGACTTAACCCAGAAAACAAACCATGAGACTGACCCCCCTGCATGTTGTGCACCAACCAGGCCGCCAGGGGCAGCAGTGCCGGCCTCGGCGGCCCCACTTAACACATTGTAACTCCTGAGTAGAACTAGTCTCAGTGGCCCCACTTAACACATTGTAACTCCTGAGTAGAACTAGTTACTAATAGCCTCGCTTGTATCCCTGATGCATGCGGTGCCCTCCCCTCCCCCCTGCTACACCCTTCCCCTCCCCCTGCATAAAGCCAACTTCTTGTGTACACCGGAATGTTCCAGACCCCGGGGCACCTGGAATGATGCACTAGCGATGCTTTACTGGCCTTGCTCAGCCAGACATGTGACGTTGACTTTGACATCGGTCAAGGAGCCCTGGTGGCATAGTGGTTATACCTTGGACTGCTAACGTCAAGATCAGTTTGAAACCACCAGTCGTCAGTCAGGAGAAAGACGAGGCTTTCTACTCCTGTACAGAATGACAGCCTTAGAAAGCAAGGGGGCAGCGCCACCCTGTCCTGTAGGGACCCTGTGGGTCAGAGTGGACTGGATGGCTGTGGGTGTGGTTTTTCGGTTTTGTGGGACATCGGTCAGAACCTCCGAGATACCTATGCACCGCAACCTGTCCCAACTGGAGCCACGTGTGGGGGTGTTGTCACAAGGGATTGGCGGGAACATGTGCGTACCACTGTTAGAAGGTAGGGTGGCTTCTCTGTGTCCGCCAGGTTCCCAGAAGGCAGATGAGTGTGGGGTGACTGTGTTTCCTTTCTGCGTCTGCATATCAGTGCTTGAGGCCCAGCCACATCTGCCCACCGGTCCCAGGCCTGGGCCGTCCTCTCCAGCTCCCCAGGAAGTGCCTGGACCGGAGTCTGGCCACCAGGAAGAGGGGACTCTGGGCTGACCGACCACCTGGTCATTGTCCTTTTCCATGGTTTCCACCTCTTCTTTGGTGGTAGTGGTGGTGGCATGTGCTGATGAGTCAGCTCCAACTCTCGTGGCCAAGTGGCAGCGGAGAGCCATCCCCTGGTGCTTGCTCGGCCAATGTTTTGCAGAGACACGTCCTCGGGGCTTCTGCACAGAGCCTGGGGTGGCTGCCAGCGGCCAGCTTCTCGGGTAGCTACCAAATCCTTCCCTATTACAGCCCCAGAAGAGGGAGACTGAGACCGGCTGATCACTCATGCAGAAAGAGCCACGGGTCGGTCCCCCTAAACGTATTCCCCCGTCTGGCCTGCCAGCTGACAGGCTGTGCACACCTGTCCTACAGCACCTTTCTCTCCACCGGGAGCACCTTCCACCTTCCGCTCCATGTCAGGGCCTCTGGGTGTGACTCCCCCAACCGTGAGGCAAGTGGTGTCACCACCATTGTTCCTGGCTGGACCTTCCGAAGGGGTGACCTTGATCCCTCCTGGCCCTGCCCCCGGCGACCTGTGCACTGTGAGACTCGAGACCCCGCACAGTGTTCCAGGGCAGAGAGGTCACTCGGACTGAGGCGCGCCCGACGTGGCTCGTGTGCGGGAACATGGGGGACAGTGAGTCGAGAAGCCCTGAGAAGGACCAATACCTTCGAATGATGGTGTCAGCAAAGATTGTTGAAGCCACCATGGGCTCCCCGGAAAACACACAGAGGGGTGTCGGGAGAGGTACAGCCAGCGTGCTCCTGCAAAGTCAGGACGGTAGGGCTTTGTCTGACGTGCTATGGGCATGAGGGGGCACCAGTCTCAGGAGGAGGGGCAGTGAAAAAGAGGAAGACCCCCAATGGGATGGGTGGGCACAGGGGCTGCAGCAGCGGGCTGGGCCCAACAGCCTCTGTGAGGATGGTGCAGGACCAAGCAGTCTTGGGTTCTGTTGTGCACAGTGTCCTCTGGGCAGGGCCGACAACAGCACCTGGCCACGGTGACGGGGCCACGCATCCAGCATGACATCCTTCCTGGATCACCGGCCAAAATCGGTGATCGTCCATGGCTTTGGGCACCTGTTGAGTTCTTTGGCATCTCGCGGCTCTGCGGGCTGGGCATTTTGAGGGAGTGTTTCGGAAACCTGTTGAGCAGCCTTGCTTCTGTGAAACCTGGCAGCTTAGGGGCCCTGGACCATGGAGCACTGTTTGTGTTGGCTGTTCTGGGCCACTTGTCTTTAAATGCAGTGATTGTTCTCCCTGTGGGACCAGAATGTTGTCATCCTGTGTCCTTGGTCTGACAAGGGTGTAAACATTAGGGTTTTGTCCCTAGTGTTGCTGGGCGTGCCACTGAGTTGGCCAGCTCGCCCCAGAACTGCCCCGCAGAGCTCCCTGGGCTGTCTGTTTCTACAGAAGCAGACTGCAGAGTCTTTGATGGGTTCAAACCGGCAACCTTCCCGTTCTTACCAATCCAAACTCACTGCCCTGGAGTCTATTTTAACTCATAGTGACTCTACAGGGCAGGCTTAAACTGCCCCTTTGAATTTCCAAGACTATATCTCTTTATGGAAGTTCAAAGTCTCGTCTTTCTCCCACGGAGCAGCTGGTGGTTTCAAACTGCTGACCTTGCAGTTAGCTACCCAACACGGAACCACAACCAGGGTCCCTGTAAAAGCCACATGGCTGGGGCATCTGACCTCCTCTGAGGTCAGGAGGAAGCGAGAGAAGCAGGTCCCTCAGCCACCTTCCAGACTCCTCGCCGATTCTGCCACCAGCCTCCCTCCCACGACACTCTCTGTCTCTGCCACGTTCAATAATTCATCACAGTGGCCTCATCGATCTTGGAGAACAACACATCCCTCATTGTGAGGTTTCTCAGGGAAGTAACAAGCTACAGTTCAGGATCGGAAGCCACTCAGACGCAGTTCTTCAACCCACACAGCCTCTTCTCTTCCAGGTCTGCAGCTTCCCCTCTCTGACCCACAGGCTCTCTGGGTCCCGCAGCCTGGCTTGGGCAAGTGTTACAAACCTCTTTCATCTCTGCGATCACGTGTCCAGAGACACGCCACCCCATCGGAAAAATGCTCCGTGGGTCAGCAGAGTTAGCCCCTCTGCATACCCGGGAGCATCTCACTCCACCCACAGGCTCTCTGCCTTCCAGCCTCTCTGCCTTCCAGGGAAGCCCTCAGCTGTGTCTGGCACTGTCTCCTGTCTCACAGCTTCCCCTGAGCCAGCCTCTGGGATAGCTCATTTTTAACCCAGCGGGATGGCAACACTGACCAGTACCCTCATTAGGGCTCCAGACACCTTAGCGGCATAGTCCCACCCCTGCATGGTCTGCAGTTAGCAAGCCATCCGAGCCCCTTGTTGGTCCCTAAGCTCCTCCATCTGCATAGTCGGGCCCCATCCCTTGGTGGGAGTTACACCACGTGATGTAAGTCCACACGAACTGGGCCACACAGTGATTCAGTCACAGTCTGCCAAGCAGGTGCTTCACCACCGGACCACCAAGGGACAGTTGATCGCCACTGCTGTGGTTCCCAGGTGCTGTTGAATCAGCACTGAGTCACAGTCGCCCAGTGCACAGCAGGACACAACACAGCAGGACACAACACCACCATTCTTGTGCCGTCTTGTGAAACGGTTGAGCCCACAGTTGCAGCCACTGTGTCCATCCATCTTGTCCAAGGACTTCCTCTCTCCCTGCCCCTCCACTTTATCAAGCACGATGTCCTTCTCCAGGGACTGGTCCCTCCCGATAGCACGTCCAAGGTACGGGAGACCAGGTCTGGCCCTCCCTGCCTCTAAGGAGCACTCTGGCCGTACTTCCTCCAAGACAGATTTGATTCTTCTTTTGGCAGTCCATGGTAATTTCAGTAATTTTCACCATCCCATAATTGCCTGGTTGGCCACTTGTTTCTGGGTGCCATCGCGCTGGCTCCAGCTCACAGGAAGTACCCTGCATACAGCAGAGCCATCGCTCGGCAGAATTCATGGCTGGTTTTCCGAGTGCAGAGGGTCTGACGGAGCTGCCCGGTGCTGCGTATTCTGATCCGGTGGCTCTGAGACAGAGAAACCTGAACTTGGGCTGAGTTTTATATATGTATTTCTCACAAAGGAATGCTGGGCTCAGCTCTGTCTTGTGTTCTAGGCCTTGGAAATCACCACGCCATGTGATGTTCCTTACGCCTATGCACTGGCTCTGAGAAAGAACGTGGCCTTAGGGGGCCGGGTTTTCAAAATGGGTGGCATGCCCCTCGGGGCTCCTGGGAGTCTCACTGCAGTGCCCTGGTCTCCGCAGGACTCTCTGGCCGAGGTGGAGGAGAAGTACAAGAAGGCCATGGTGTCCAACGCCCAGCTGGACAATGAGAAGACGAACTTCATGTACCAGGTGGACACCCTGAAGGACCTGCTGCTGCAGGTGGAGGAGGAGCTGGCGGAGTCCCGGCGGCAGTACGAGGAGAAAAACAAAGTAAGGGCGGTGGGCAGAGCACTGCGTAGCCGTGGCAGGCCAGGGCCCGTCCGGTCCCAGTTCCCAGCAGCCCCACAGGGTTCCCCAGCCTGGCGTGGCCAGTTGTTTGCCTCAGGACCCACAGGGTGACAAGGGAGCGCTTCACTTCACTGGTGCGCTGCAGGGCTCCAGCTTGCTGGAGACCCAAGCAGAGGGCTCGGGACAGGCAGGCCACAGAGATATTGCGGGCTCCAGACCAGACCACGGCAGCCACGTGTGTCTGTTTCCCAGCGCGTGGGAAAGGGATGTGGGCACGAGGCTCTAGTCTAGGAAGCATGAGGAGAAAGTTGGAAATCTTTCGAGAACGACCAGCACGAGCCACAGGGACACAGTGTGGGGAGCACAGGCTGTTGGGAAAATGTCCCTGACAGACTCGCCCCACGCAGGGCTGCCCCCAACCTCCCGTTGGTAACAAGCGCAGCGGAAAAGCAAGGCTCGAGACAGCCAGTTGGTGATCCAAGCCTGCCTGCCAAACGGCCGGCATGTTGGGGGGTGGGGGTGGGCTCCTGGTGAGCAGGACCTAGATCTTCCTGTGAATGCCTGTCCTCACTTCTCATTCTGTCCCTTGTCCGCACTGTCAAGAAATAAGAACAGGTGCCGAGGATTCTGAGAAAAGCCCAGGCCGTGGTTTTCCGGGGTGGGGGCCACAGCCCCTGCCCCTGCGAGGTGCTCTACAGAGGGTGCTCCCGGCCCACTGTCACGTGCCCTACTCTGGCCCCCACAGGAGTGTGAAAGGGAGAAGCACGCACATGGCGTCCTGCAGTTCCAGTTTGCGGAGGTGAAGGAGGCCCTGAAACAGCGGGAAGAGATGCTCGAGGTAGGTGCCGCCTCCGCTTTCCCCGGGCTGCCCAGCCGTCTCATGCGGCAGTGGGAGGAGAAGCCGGCCGGCCTCTGGGCATTTGCTTGAGGTTAATTGTCTGCATCTCCCTGAGGAAACTCCCCCTCACTGGTCAAGAGCCTCCTTCTTGGGTGGTTTTGTGTTTGCTTCAGGAGGAGAAATAAATAGGAGGCAGGATAATGAGCCCCCAAAGAGGTCCCCGTCCTAACCCCCAGAAGCTCTACCTGTGTGACCATGCAGGTGGAGGCACTCTGCTGATGGGGTGGAGTTGGAGACCTTGGGACGGAGCAAAACGCTCTGGTGGTACAGTGGGCTACAGGTTAGGCTGCTAACCACAGCATCCGCAGTTCAAGACCACCAGGTGCTTCCTGGGAGAAAGACGAGGCTTTCTACTCCCAGAAAGTGACCAAGCCTCAGAAACCCACCGGGGCAGCTTCCCCCGATTCCCCCCCCCTCCCGCGCCCCCCGACCCCCCTTGTGCTCCAGGGTCGCTGTGAGCCAGAATCGGGTCAGTGGCAGTGAGTTTGTGTTGTGGGGGCCCAGGGAGGTGGTCTTGGGTTAAGAGACCAGAGTTGTCGTGAGAAGCAAGTAGGAAGGGGAAAGGTGGCGGCAAGAGATGGAATGAGGTGGTGGGGGGCGGGGGTGGGGGTGGGGGGCACAAGCCAGGGAAGGGAAACAGCCTCCAGGAGCTGAAAGGGTCAGGATTGTCCCCTAGAGGACTCAGAATGACAGCCCTGCCCTCAGCCGGCTTTTAGCCCCGTCAGGCTCAGGCCCGACACGTGACCCCTGGAACCATAAGCTTATACTGTCCTTATGCCTCCGCTCCCACCCAGCCTCCAAGACAGTAAGTACTTACACCCTGCAGCACGGGCAGCCTCCTCCAGGGTGACACGGGTTCTGTCCCACCGCCCCCCAGTCAGGCGGCCACACAGTCCTCGGGTCCCCCAGTCACAGAGAAGCCCGTGGACGCTGTGCTGTAGTCACTAAGTGTGGGCAGCGAGACAGACTCAGAGATCACTGCTGTCACGGCAGCTCTGACCCCCGAGCCCCGGTGGAGCTGTGAGTTACACGTCGGGCTGCTAACCAGAAGGCCAGCAGTTCGAAACCACCAGCTGCTTCCCAGGAAAAAGACAGGACTTTCTGCTCCCTTACGGAGTCACAGTCTTGGACACCCACAGGGCCAGTCCTTCCCTGTCTTGTGGGGCCTCTGAGCGTGACAAGAGGGTGCCAATCTGACCTACAAGGGACACAGAGATAGGACCAGGGCAGCTGCTGCCCATCATCGTGCCTGACTCAAGCTGGCCACGCCCCTCTAAAAAGAAGCTCGGGTCTTTTTGGCACGTGCAAACAAGGCTCGCCCATCTGGTTTGCCGCTGCTGGTGACAGCCCCACAGGGACATGGCAGAGAAGCTGGTCGGTTCTGCCTCAGGTCCCAGGGGGTCACTTCTCCCTCTCACAGCCAGGAGGCGGGAGAGCCGGGCCAGGTCTCGATGAGGGGGGCGGTGTGTTGGAAAGGCGCTGCAGCCCCCAGGCTGAGTGTGGCCGAGCCAGACAGAGCAACAGCTTGCCTGGCATCGGGGTTTCCTTCCTGTTTAACCCTCTCTCTGCTTCCTTCCTACCTGCCCCTGCTCCTCAGGAAATCCGGCAGCTACAACAGAAACAGGCCACTTGTGTCAGGGAGCTTTCTGACCTTCGGGAAACAATAGAGTGGAAGGACAAAAAGATAGGGGTAGGCTGGTGACTGAACCCCGCCTCTGCTCAGCGGGTGGCCCCCAGGGTGCCCCGTGTGCAAAGCTTTGTGTGTGTGTGTGT